TTTAAGCCCCCTACTTCTGTAAAGACCCGCCCCCCCACACACACAAAAAAACCCCACGCACCTTATCAATCAAGTTGGCAAACTTGTTGTTGAGGACCTTAATCTCTTCTTTCTCCTTGGTTCTCACTTGCTGCATGGCGTGGTCGACTTCCAAGTTGAGCGGGGCCAGCAGGCTCTTGTTGACGCTGACCGCCGTGATGCCCCCCATACTCCCCGGAGAAGCTCCGCGGAAGCTGCCCCCCCCAACGCTATACCTGCCGCCCCCGAGGGCGGAGGAGGAGGAGTAAGAGGTGCTGATCCGAGAGCTGGCAACGGGGCCAGGCGTGTAAGACCGGCTGCTAAAACTGCGGACGGTGCTAGACGTGTTCCGGTAATTCTTCATCATGGTGGGTTTGGGGGGTTTGTTGGTTTTTTGCAAGGAAGCGCGGGAGGAAGACGCTGGAAGAATGCAGGCAGCTGGAAAGCAAGGCAACGCCAACGGCGGAGGAAGCCGGGCGGCGACTTATATGCAAGCGCGTTGGAGGGGGGCGTGGGGAGGAAAGGGCGCGGTTGGCGGAGAGAACGGCAGCACCTGAGTGGCTTTTACAACCATGAGGGGGCGGAGCTCCAAAGCTCGGATACCTGCTTTGCCCGGCAAGGGAGCTGCGCCTTTTAACTCTTTCCTAGCGGGACTCTGAGCCACGGAGCGACACGTCCGCGCGCCACCTTCGGGAAATCTCCCCTCCTCCCCCCCCCGCCCCCGTGATATTCACTCCAGCTTACTACGTTTTAAGTGTTCGGGCAGCGAACAAGCCCAAAGAGGGCAGCAGTTGCCCAAACTTGCGCTGACCCGGGACCCTCTCCCGGGGGATGCCTGAGCTCCCCAACCCCCACGGGAGAGGAGAGGCGCTTCGCTCTGGCGCGTTAAACCGAGCGAGAAGGTTTGAACCACGAAGGGCCCGAGGCGAGGGACTCCCTGGGAAGAGCTCGCCAAAGGCAAAGGACGGGGCGAGGAAGCGGCTCGGGAGAAGCGGGCAAGCCGGCTTGCTTAAAACTCGGACAGGAGTTTGACGAACCGCGCTATTGGCGGGTCTGAATTGGGGGGGGGAGAGACCCGGATGGCCATAACAGAGCGCCAAATAGAGGGGGTCCTCGGCTTACAACCGTTCGTTTAATGGCCGAAGTTACAAGGTCCCTGAAAACAAGTGACCCGGGACCGGGTTTTCACACTGTGGCAGCGTCCTCATGGTCATGTGATCAAAATTCAACCGCTTGGCCACCGGTTAATGTTTATGACGGTTCCAGCATCCGGAGGGTGTATGTGTGTGTTTGTCTGTCATATGATCCTTTTTTGCCACCACCTTCCAACAAGCAAAGTCAACAGGGGAACATGGTTCACTTTACGGGGTTACTAATTTAAGTGATTCACTTAACAACCGAGGCAATCCCAAATCGTTAAGATTGGGCAAAAAAATTGACTTCACAAATGTCTCGCTTAGCAACATAAAGTGTCCAGGCCTACCCCTAGTTAAGGGTTTTTTCTGCTTACTCATGGTCAGTGTGATTTTTTTTTTCCCCAGCTCCTTACCCTTAATTAGCGGAAGGTGGGAGCTGGATCTAATGGGCTTCAGGATTCAGCTGCTCAGTTGCTTCCCCTGGGATCAGTTGTGATTACATGATTCAGCATTGGCAGCCACCCTTTGCTTGCCAGATTTAAAGTTTAATCTTTAAACTCCCTCTGGGATTTAGGGGCTGTCTCCTTTGCCAAGCTCTGGACAGGGCTCATTCCTACTGATTCCAAACCTAATACCCATTTAGCCTCCATTTTCACAGGGTAGCAGAATAAACTATTTCCCATTAACCTTGGGGCACTTTTTAAGGTGGGCTTTTAATATGGTGTGTCTGGTTTTAATTCTCCTTTGGACTGTGCCTGTTGAACCTACAGGGTGCATAACTATAAAGGTAAATGTAACTTTTCTTTTTTTAGAATTTAGGATATGGGCCTTGATTTTAAAGTGGCTTGGCATTTCAGATGTTCAAAGGCAGATCAGAAATTCTAAGAAGACTCAATAAATACATAATTGTTGAATTAAATGCCAAACTAGGAATCCAAAGGAAGGCAAGGAAGACACTCCATTTGGATCCCTTTCTGCTATTAAAAAAAAATAAGGCAATATATGGAGTTGCATTTATATTAATATGTTTTTATTTTTTGTTAGCCACCGGAGTCATTGAGAGTGAGTGGGAGGCCATATAAAGTCTCTTAAATAGGTTCATACATTCAGTTGCTAAGCCTGCTGCTGGCCATATTATTGGGCTTGTACTGATCATGGTTTTTTAAGTAGAATCATAGATTTCCTGTTGAATTCAAACACACAACATTACCATTTGGGATTTATACAAACTGGCAATTGAAATTACCTTATGTCAAAATTTCCTTTCAGACTCCCAGTTTTTGTAAATCCAAGACAATGACTGCTTTGTGTTCAAATAAAGTTTTAATAAAGGCCTCGTAGGGGCAAGGAGGTTAGCAAACTGTGGTCATTACCTGGACCTTTTGAGGTAACCTATGCAAACACAAGGAACGTGGTGGCTCAGTGGCTAAGACGCTGAGCTTGTCGATCAGAAAGGTCAGCAGTTCGAATCCCTAGCACCGCGTAACAGAAGGAGCTCCCATTACTTGTCTCAGCTTCTGCCAACCTAGCAGTTTGAAAGAACGTAAAAATGCAAGTAGAAAAATAGGAGCCACCTTGGTGGAAAAGTAACAGTGTTGCGTGTGCCTTCGGCATGTAGTCATGCCAGTCAGAAGACCACAGAGATGTCTTTGGACAGTGCTAGCTTTGAAACGGAGATGAGCATCACACACACACCCCCAGAGTCAGGAACATATGTGCAAAGGGAACCTTTACCTGTGCAAACACAACCATTATCCGGAAAAGCCATTATTGTGCAATTTGTTTGATCATTAGGAAATTCTCCAAGAGGTTGATAGAAACACAAAAGGGACATGAAGATATACTGTAACAGACATGTAACTTGATTGATGCAGGTTTTCTCATAAGTAAATCCTGTTTGAGTTCAACTGGACTTATTCTCAATTAAGGATGCCTTGGGATTGAAATGCTAAATGGATGAGTGGGTGTGTCTCTCTCTCTCTCTCTCATCTCTTTAAGAATTCCTGAAGCTAAAATCTGCATGCTTGCTGAAAAGGAAACTGGAATTTGGTAGAACTTGCAATTCCCCTATTGAATATCTCTAGCGATGAATACACAAAATCAACCATTCTGAGTAGGCTGGGTGATCCTTGATACTATTTAAATGAGTTTTAAATAGGTCTAGATGACAACTCAATGTAGAATTATTTAACCTTCATCCCTAGTTACTTACAGTATAAACCAAATACCCTAAAAGAGAAGCAAGGCACCCTCACTTTTTAAGACCACTTTTGATGGCTCTGCCTATTTTTTCCATGTCCTGTGACTGTCTTGTTATCCCTGTGGTTTTCTTTGGTCTTATTTGTGCATTCCAAAGAAGCAGCAAAACAGAATCCTCCCTATAAGTATGGCACAATTGGCATTATTGCTTTGGGGGAGATCAGCCTCTTAATTACTTAACTGAGGACATTCTCTTGGTTGCAAAAGGCTATCTATGAGACTCAGAGGGATAATTGCGACTGAAGGAATCATTACATTCTTAGCCTATCGGCTTACTTAACGTCTTGAATCCTTGAAAGGATGATGCGGCAACGCTGTGGCTGAATCACTAGACTAGGTTAAAGTAGAGTTGGGTCACTTGTATTTCAACATAATGAAGGAAAACGATTGCCTTAGCATGTTGCATGAACCATCATATTAAGCTGTAATATGATTTATTTGGGTGTGGTGGACTATGTGAGCGCAGTGTATTTTGTTAACCACGTTTGGTGTGTTGTATGAATCTGCCCTGTTTGTATGATAAGTGAACACAAGAGATGTAAAACTGCTTCAAACTCAACAGGGCTGGTACTACACAATCTATCTTAAAATGTTTCGCTTAAAAAATTGAACTAAAACCAAATACTGTAAGCTTGTGATCAAAGTGTTGGACTATAAAAAATATTAATGCATGCTACTTGCAGTTATGTTCAAAATTGTCTCTTGTGTGCTGCATTAATTGCCAGGCACAGACAAAGCCAACTTAAAGTCAGAAAGACTACAATGTTTACAAGTCTCTGCTGGGGGCAAAAGCATCAGGCACATTATCACATCACTCAGGTAATGCAAACAGCATACATTCAAGCCCCCCACCCCACCCCGGTACATTGACCAGCACCAGGCTGCAGCATGCCAGTAACAGGACCACACAAGTAAGAAAAGCTCCATCTGCGGGATGCGGGCAGCATGCAAAGCCATGGCCCCTCCAGTCCAGCGGAAAACCCTTTCTTCATGGAACAGTCCCTGGTACCCAAAAGGTTGGGGGCTGCTGGCCATACATCACTCCTGTCATGATGATGTCATGATGCACATGNGTAATGGAGTGAGCTCCCGTTACTTTTCTCAGCTTCTGCCAACCTAGCAATTCAAAAGCATGTAAAAATGCATGTAGAAAAATAGAGACCACCTTTGGTGGGAAGGTAACAGTGCTCCGTGCGCCTTCAGCATTTAGTCATGCTGGCCACATGGCCACAGAGACGTCTTCGGACAGCGCTGACTCTTCAGCTTTGAAATGGAGATGAGCAATGCCCCCTAGAATCAGGAACGACTAGCACAAATGTGCGAGGGGAACCTTTACCTTTTAAGCATAAGATGGGTGGTAAAGCTACTTTGTCCAGCCCAGGCATACCCAAAGCAATGGAACTAGAAGGACTCACTTGCTCTTGAATTCTTCCACCAGGCCTTGCATGTTTCCCAACTCAGCACCCAGTCTTGCCCTCTCCTGACCCAAGTTTTCCAGCTGCCGGCGTAGGTTGTTGATGTAGGCCTCAAACATACTGTCCATGTTGCTCCGTGTAGTCTTCTGATTCTGCAAGAGGCTCCATTTGGTTTCCAGCATCTTGTTCTGCTGTTCTAGGAAGCGAACCTGAGGGGAAAGGGAGAACAGATCAGGAAGTAAATCCCTGATACTTCAGCAGCATCCATGCAGCTCTGCATCTCTTCAGCTGGGCAGCCCCATTTATCTTTTTCATCAGAGGTCAAACTGGTATTTCCCTGGCATAAGGTAGGCCATGTTCTACTGGCTTAAGGTAGCCATCACCCCACAGTCAGAAAAGGTTCACAGCAGCTTGCAAAGCTGTAGTTCCTGCTATTAGTAAATGGATTCAGCAGGCCTTCCCAAACTTAACATATTATTAAGTACTATTTGATTACTAGAAACATCTGAGAACAAAAGATATACATGCTAAGGAATATACCTCTTGGCTCAATGCATAATTTATTTGTGGTGTCTCCTGGATCCCCAAATAGAAGTAGTTGAGGCAATGTATCTGCTACAGGTTACTTTGTGCACTTTATGCCGGATTTTATTTTAGATTAAAAAGATACAATCTGAAACCCTACAGTTATAAGTAGCCTTTTCGTGTGACTGCCATTCACCCCAGGATATTTCTGAAACTTCCCATTGGATTGTAAAGTTTAATATAAACAGAAGATTAAATTCCCAAGGAGCAATCATAATATTTACCTGATTTTAATTTAGCTTAATTAAATTTAGTTCTTTCCCAGTGTCTACTACTTTCTGGAATGTGAGCCGCTGCATCCACAAAGAAATCAAGTGTGGCTTGTAGCCTCAAATGAAAAGATCTGATTTATTTGAAACAATTTTAAATAAGCGGAAAGGCAGATTAAAGGAGAAAAAAGACAGCTACAAATTGTAGCAGCTAATGAAAGCACAAGCAAATAATAAAAATAACTCAGTAATTTCACTTTAAAACCAAACACAGAAGTGCCATGAAAAACATTTTACATCACACATTTCTCTGCCTATTCTGACAATAGTCTATCTCAATGTGACATTCTTCCATTGCATCATTCCCATTAGCTAAGGAAGATGGGTCTAAAGCAGTGGTAGTCAACCTGGTCCCTACCGCCCACTAGTGGGCATTCCAGCTTTCATGGTGGGCGGTA